ATGGAAAATAAAGAGGCTGAGAAAAAGAGGGAGAAACAACTACAGGATCACGAGGGCAGAATTTGAGAGATAAGCGATACGATAAGACGAAACAACATTAGAATAATTGGGATCCCAGAAGAAGAAGAAAGAGAGAGAGGGGCAGAAGGTAGATTGGAGCAAATAATGGCAGAGAACTTCCCTAATGTGAGGAAGGAAACAGGCATCAAAATCCAGGAGGCACAGAGAACACCTCTCAAAATCAATAAAAATAGGTCAACACCCCGACATCTAATAGTAAAACTTACGAGTCTCACAGACATAGAGAAAATCCTGAAAGCAGCTCGGGAGAAGAGATATGTAACCTACAATGGTAGAAATATTAGATTGGCAACAGATCTATCCACAGAGACCTGGCAGGCCAGAAAGGACTGGCATGATATCTTCAGAGCACTAAACGAGAAAAATATGCAGCCAAGAATACTATATCCAGCTAGGCTGTCATTGAAAATAGAAGGAGAGATAAAAAGCGTCCAGGACAAACAAAAACTAAAGGAATTTGCAAACACGAAACCAGCCCTCCAAGAAATATTGAAAGGGGTCCTCTAAGCAAAGAGAGAACCTAAAAGCAACAAAGATCAGAAAGGAACACAGACAACATACAGTAACAGTCACCTTACAGGCAATACAATGGCACTAAATTCATACCTTTCACTAGTTACCCTGAATGTAAATGGGCTCAATGCCTCAATCAAAAGACACAGGCTATCAGATTGGATTAAAAAACAAGACCCATCCATATGCTGTCTGCAAGAGACTCATTTTAGACCCAAAGACACCCCCAGATTGAAAGTGAGGGGGTGGAAAACCATTTACCATGCTAATGGACACGAAAAGAAAGCTGGGGTGGCAATCCTTATATCAGACAAACTAGATTTTAAAACAAAGACTGTAATAAGAGATGAGGAAGGACACTATATCCTACCTAAAGGGTCTATCCAACAAGAAGATCTAACAATTGTAAATATCTCTGCCCCGAACATGGGAGCAGCCAATTATATAAGGCAATTAATAGCAAAAGTGAAGAAACACATTGACAGCAATACAATAATAGTGGGGGACTTTAACACCCCCCTGACTGAAATGGACAGATCATCTAAGCAAAAGATCAACAAGGAAATAAAGACTTTAAATGACACACTGGACCAAATGGACTTCACAGACATATTCAGAACATTCCATCCCAAAGCAACGGAATACACATTCTTCTCTAGTGCCCATGGAACATTCTCCAGAATTGATCACATCCTAGGTCACAAATCAGGTCTCAACCGGTACCAAAAGATTGGGATCATTCCCTGCATATTTTCAGACCACAATGCTTTGAAACTAGAACTCAATCACAAGAGGAAAGTCAGAAAGGACTCAAATACATGGAGGCTAAAGAGCATCCTACTAAAGAATGAATGGGTCAACCAGGAAATTAAAGAAGAATTTAAAAAATTCATGGAAACCAATGAAAATGAAAACACAACTGTCCAAAATCTTTGGGATACAGCAAAGGCAGTCCTGAGAGGAAAGTATATAGCAATACAAGCCTTTCTCAAGAAACAAGAAAGCTCTCAAATACACAACCTAACCCTACACCTAAAGGAGCTGGAGAAAGAACAGCAAATGAAGCCTAAACCCAGCAGGAGAAGAGAAATAATAAAGATCAGAGCAGAAATCAATGAACTAGAAACCAAAAGAACAGTAGAACAGATCAACAAAACTAGGAGCTGGTTCTTTGAAAGAATTAACAAGATTGATAAACCCCTGGCCAGACTGATCAAAAAGAAAAGAGAAATGACCCAAATCCACAAAATCATGAATGAAAGAGGAGCGATCACAACCAACACCAAAGAAATACAAACAATTATAAGAACATATTATGAGCAACTCTATGCCAGCAAATTAGATAACCTGGAAGAAATGGGTGCATTCCTAGAGATGTATCAACTACCAAAATTGAACCAGGAAGAAAGAGAAAACCTGAACAGACCTATAACCACTAAGGAAATTGAAGCAGTCATCAAAAATCTCCCAAGAAACAAAAGCCCAGGGCCAGATGGCTTCCCAGGGGAATTCTATCAGACATTTAAAGAAGAATTAATACCTATTCTCCTGAAACTGTTCCAAAAAATAGAAATGGAAGGAAAACTTCCAAACTCATTTTATGAGGCCACCATTACCTTGATCCCAAAACCAGACAAAGACCCCATCAAAAAGGAGAACTACAGACCAATATCCTTGATGAACACGGACGCAAAAATTCTCACCAAAATACTAGCCAATAGGGTCCAACAGTACATTAAAAGGATTATTCACCATGACCAAGTGGGATTTATCCCTGGGCTGCAAGGCTGGTTCAACATCCGCAAATCAATCAACATGATACAATACATTAACAAAAGAAAGAACAAGAATCATATGATCCTCTCAATAGATGCAGAAAAAGCATTTGACAAAGTACAGCATCCTTTCTTGATCAAAACTCTTCAGAGTATAGGGATAGAGGGTACATACCTCAACATCATAAAAGCCATCTATGAAAAACCTACAGCGAATATCATTCTCAATGGGGAAAAGCTGAGAGCTTTTCCCCTAAGGTCAGGAACGCGGCAGGGATGTCCACTCTCACCACTGCTATTCAACACAGTATTAGAAGTCCTAGCCACAGCAATCAGACAACAAAAAGAAATCAAAGGCATCCAAATCGGCAAAGAGGAAGTCAAACTCTCACTCTTTGCAGATGATATGATACTGTATGTGGAAAACCCAAAAGACTCCACCCCAAAACTGCTAGAACTCATACAGGAATTCAGTCAAGTAGCAGGCTATAAAATCAATGCACAGAAATCAGTGGCATTCCTATACACCAACAACAAGACAGAAGAGAGAGAAATTAAGGAGTCGATCCCATTTACAACTGCACCCAAAACCATAAGATACCTAGGAATAAATTTGACCAAAGAGGCAAAGAATCTGTACTCAGAAAACTATAAAATACTCATGAAAGAAATTGAAGAAGACACAAAGAAATGGAAAAACGTTCCATGCTCATGGATTGGAAGAACCAACATTGTGAAAATGTCTATGCTACCTAGAGCAATCTACACATTCAATGCAATCCCCATCAAAATACCATCCACTTTTTTCAAAGAAATGGAACAAATAATCCTAAAATTTGTATGGAACCAGAAGAGACCCCAAATAGGCAGAGGAATATTGAAAAAGCAAAGCAAAGCTGGCGGCATCACAATTCCGGACTTCCAGCTCTATTACAAAGCTGTCATCATCAAGACAGTATGGTACTGGCACAAAAACAGACACATAGATCAATGGAACAGAATCGAGAGCCCAGAAATGGACCCTCAACTCTATGGTCAACTCATCTTTGACAAAGCAGGAAAGAATGTCCAATGGCAAAAAGACAGTCTCTTCAACAAATGGTGTTGGGAAAATTGGACAGCCACATGCAGAAGAATGAAACTGGACCATTTCCTTACACCACACACAAAAATAGACTCCAAATGGTTGAAAGACCTAAACGTGAGACAGGAGTCCATCAAAATCCTAAAGGAGAACACAGGCAGCAACCTCTTCGACCTCAGCCGCAGCAACTTCTTCCTAGACACATCGCCTAAGGCACGGGAAGCCAGGGCAAAAATGAACTATTGGGATTTCATCAAGATAAAAAGCTTTTGCACAGCAAAAGAAACAGTCCACAAAACCAAAAGACAACCGACAGAATGGGAGAAAATATTTGCAAATGACATATCAGATAAAGGGCTAGTATCCAAAATCTATAAAGAACTTATCAAACTCAACACCCAAAGAACAAATAATCCAATCAAGAAATGGGCAGAAGACATGAACAGACATTTTTCCAAAGAAGACATCCAAATGGCCAACAGGCACATGAAAAAGTGCTCAACATCGCTCGGCACCAGGGAAATCCAAATTAAAACCTCCATGAGATACCACCTCACACCAGTCAGAATGGCTAAAATTAACAAGTCAGGAAACGACAGATGCTGGTGGGGATGTGGAGAAAGGGGAACCCTCCTACACTGTTGGTGGGAATGCAAGCTGGTGCAGCCACTCTGGAAAACAGTATGGAGGTTCCTCAAACAGTTGAAAATAGAGCTACCATACGATCCAGCAATTGCACTACTGGGTATTTACCACAAAGATACAAATGTAGGGATCCGAAGGGGTACGTGCACCCCAATGTTTATAGCAGCAATGTCCACAATAGCCAAACTGTGGAAAGAGCCAAGATGTCCATCGACAGATGAATGGATAAAGCAGATGTGGTATATACACACAATAGAATATTATGCAGCCATCAAAAGGAATGAGACCTTGCCATTTGCAATGACGTGGATGGAACTGGAGGGTGTTATGCTGAGTGAAATAAGTCAATCAGAGAAAGACATGTATCATATGACCTCACTGATATGAGGAATTCTTAATCTCAGGAAACAAACTGAGTGTTGCTGAGTGGTGGAGGGTGGGAGGGATGGGTTGGCTGGGTGATAGACATTGGGGAGGGTATGTGCTATGGTGAGCGCTGTGAATTGTGCAAGGCTGTTGAATCACAGATCTGTACTTCTGAAACAAATAACGCAAGATATGTTAAGAAAAAAGAAAAAGAAGAAGATAGCAGGAGGGGAAGAGTGAAGGGGAGTAAGTCGGAGGGGGAGATGAAACATGGGAGATGATGGACTCTGAAAAACAAACTGAGGGTTCTAGAGGGGAGTGGGGTGGGGGGATGGGTTAGCCTGGTGATGGGTATTAAAGAGGGCACGTTCTGCGTGGAGCACTGGGTGTTATGCACAAACAATGAATCATGGAACACTACATCAAGAACTAATGATGTAATGTATGGTGATTAACATAACAATAACAAATAAAAAAAACTAAAACGGAAAAAAAAGAGCCTACATTTACTACTCTTTACCCTCTTTTCTCATCAGTTACATTCCCAGAGGAAACCAGCCAGTCTGGATCTCATGCGCAGCCCAACTGGACTCTTCCTTTGAGATGCACGGTCATCTGTGGGAGGGGTTCCTGTCCTCTCCCTGATTCCACTCAGATTCTTCAGTGACCAGGGCAGTCCTCAGACCTCGTGGTGTTTGATTTTATATGTCAACCTGGCTAGGCTGTGGTGTTCAGATGTTTGATCAAACACCAATCTAGATGTTTCTGTGAAGGTCGTTTTTAGATATTATTAATAAATAAATCAGTAGATTTTGGGTAAAGCACATTACCTTCCATAACCTGTGTGGGGGAGGTGGAGGTGGGGGTGGGGAGCTCATCCGGTCTGTTGAAGGCCTTAAAGGAAAGAGACGGGTCCCCCCCAGAGGAAGAAGGAACTTGGCCTCCAGATTGCCTTCAGCCCGAGAAACTCGTCTCTTCCTTAAAATCCTCCCTGGGTCTCCATGCTGCTGTCCGTTCACAGATTTCAAATGTGCCAGCCTCCACAATCTCATGAGCCAATTCCTTAAAATAAATGTCTCTCTGTATATGTACATATCCTACTGGGTCTGTTTCCTGGAAAATCAGAATCAGATTAATACAGGCCCACAGGAATCAGCAGTCGCAGAGAACTGACTGCACTCCCGGGGCTGGAGGCTGCTGGGGTCGGAGGGATGAGAGCCCGGTGTTTGGATCTGTGTGTTTGTGAAATACCTTCAAGGTGTGTTTGTCACCCCAAGGCACCCAATTTTGGCCTCTTCACCACTAAACCTATGGTGCAGGCTGGGAAGAGGTAGTCTGCGTGACCTAGGGAGCTGTGGGGGAGTCCGAGGACAGTGTAAGGAGGGATGAGGCTGTAACTAAACCAAAGGCATCAGCCACATGGAATAGTCTGGGTCTGAGACTGGGGGCAGCGGGCTCAACTCATGTTTTGTCTTCCTCATCACAGATCTAGAGCACACAGCTCTCCTAAGGGGCAGCCAGAGGGTTTACTCACTCCTTTTCCACATCCTGGATGGAGTTGAGCAGAGGCTGAATCCTGGTTTCAGCAAGGAGTTGGACAACAAGACCAGCGAGGATGGGGAAGGCTCCATACACAATCCCGGGCAGGTGTATTCTGTATCCAGAATACACTGTTAGGATCCCCTCTTGAGAGGGGAGCCAGGGCTGCTCCAATATTAGCAGCAATTCCCCGGATTCCTGTGGCTGTTGCTCTTGGGGTACAAACAATAATACAAAATATATAGTGAATATCCACACATATAATTTGTGGTTTATTATTTTGCTTTGGTTATGGGAGATGGCACACCAGTGTGTTTAGACACATAGGAGTCTGATGACATCCTCTTGCTTTGAAAATCTCTCTTATTTGCTGACAAGTTTTTTCATTTAATTGTGCATTAAGACACAATTTGCTCATTAAGAAAATACTGTTAACCATAACATCTACCCTTTGTGTGATCCAGGAGATCACATGAGATGTTACATTAAATGATTTAATCCAGTGCCTGGCAAAAACTCAGCTTTCAATAAAATTTAGGCATAATTTTTGTTATTATCATTACTATTATAATTGATGTTTTTGACAACCAAATTGTCTTGATTCTCTTCTCTCCAGTAAGTGTCAATTCACTGGGCAATGTCTGTTTTGATCCTGAAAGAGCATCATGAGATTTATACCTGATTATGGCGGGCATGAGTTCACTTCCATGAGTGGAAACAGTGGTGACAGTGGCAGGATAAACTCCTCCTACCCAAAGCTTCCAAAACCCCTCGCAGAGTCTGCATTTCTGGAGAGAAGAAGACCAGTGAGACCCAAAACATCTGAGCTGAAAATCAGAATCCATCAAATTACAAGCAAAAAAGGCCTTTTTTGGAGATGCTTTTGTGCTTTTAAAATACACTGTTGAGAAAGTGCACAGAGGTAGAGCATGTGTGGTGGCTAGTCTGCTGAGAAGTGTGACTGACCTACATAATCTGCCTTGCAGTGAATAAAACGGTCTGAGTTATTTCATCCACTCTTCCTGTGTATCTGAGATTCGCCAGAAAAGGAGGGAGGGGAAGCTGAGTCCAGCAGGAGCTGCTTTCATTTATTTTGTCCAGTGTCTCCTCTGTCCTTCGTGTAGAATGTAGGACTGCCATGTGAGCAGTGACTGAGGGTGAAAGACTCCTTTGTGTCTTCTAGAGTTTAAAACCTAGGAGCTTACACAATGTTGACATGGGACTAGTATTGCAGAAGAGAATAATAAAATAGCAACTCCTGGGAGCTTGGGTGGCTCAGTTGTTTGAGCATCTGACTCTCTTGATTTTGGCTCAGGTCATGATCTCAGGGTCTTGAGATCGAGTCCCACAATGGGCTCTGTGCTGGGCGTGGAGCCTGGCTAAGATTCTCTCTCTCACTCTCCTTCTGTCTCCCCCCTACCCCTGGCCCCGCCGCTCTCTCTCACTCTCTAAAAAAATAAAAAAGAGTGTTATAACATTGGAGTGGGCTCTGTTATAAGACAGCAAACTTGCACCATTGCTGACATTCCATATGAGATGTGGAGCCACTGATCTGGGATCTTATAAAATACACAACTGTGCTGGGAGTTAGGTGGAGCCTGGGGACCACCTTGGTTGCCCCATTCATTACATATAATCATTCCATTTAGTAAAAGAGATCTAAGAGAGCCTCTTAATGACTTAATGCCTTGTTCCTACTGTTTACTCCTCTCCTTGAAGACAAAGAATTTTTATTTTCTTACTGTCAGGATGACATTCCTAAACCAGAGCTGCAGTTATGGTGACCTGATAGAAGACATGTGAGTGGTTACGTACGTACCAGAGAGTAAATGTTGGCTGAAGCTATAGTAATAAAAAAAGAGGCCAGACAGAGGAAGTGACAGTATTATGTTCTCATGTAGAATACAATGACAAGGTCCAGATCCTCCACGCTTACTATATAAAGTGTTAACCAGCCAAAATTCAAGTGATCAACTGATGTCCTAGAGAACCTGCCAGCAAGAGGTGGCACCAGTTTCCAGATGCCTCCAGGACATGATGAAGGCAATCATATATCTGAGCTGACCTTTGCTCACCTCTGGTTCTCTTCCCAGCAACATAATGGCAGAAACTGTGCTCACCCCCAGACCGGTTTCAGGAAATCCTTGGAACACCATCCTCCCTTTCCTTCTGGCTTCAGATCAGTGATCCATACAATCTCTTTTCTCGCCTCGGGGCACATATGTGTTGGCTAGAATGGAGATTCCCAGCAGGAACATAAAAATCTCTGGCTCACTTGGCCCAGGTGATTCATTGCCAAAAATCCAGTACAGTTGCCTGGAAGGTTGGCAAAGCCAAAGAGAATCTGGAACAGGAAAATAATTTCCCCCCACATGCTAGAGGTGGAGAGTCAGGCCGTAAGCGAGTATGAGAGTTGTGAGTCTGTGGTGAACAAAAGAGGAAAGACAGATGTCATAAGGTTTAGATTCTCTGTCCTAAAAATGATTATTTGAGCTAGGAAGCCAGGGTTGGTGTTAAAATACAAAGGCATGGTCTGATTTGTAGAATATTTGTGTTGACTATATCTTATTTTCTGTATTTTGGAAACTCTGGCATTTTGGGCCTTGATCCTGGAGAGACTGCCTCCCCCAGGGGTAGCTAATTCATAGTGAGAGCAAATGACTCCCCTGTAAGTCCATCTTTGATACACAAACCACCAACCCAGAGGCCATGCTCCAACCATCTCCTTTATCAAGCTCACACATCACACCAATATTCCCTCTCCCCTAAACCACCCCAGGGCCAGGTTCTGGACAACTAGGGGCCACCACTATGGCCCAGAGCCCACCAGAATTATTCAAACCATCCAATCCTAACCTTACTGGGGGACCTACCCTTTCCTGTTCCCACCAAAACTGCAATAAAGGTGCTAGACCATGCTTTCTCCTCTCTGCCTCCTGAATGACCCTGGTGCTCTCCACATGGCCCTGTCTGTCATGTCATGCCTTCTCTTTCTAGGGATCTGTGAGCATAAGCTTCCTTCATGATAATCATTTCCAAGTGTGCATGTCTTGCCATACCCGATTAAAACATAATCTCTGGGTACATTTTAAAGTTTCTTCTCAAGGTAATGATTTAAAAGTTATCATAAAATAATGGTATGATCATGGAGGCTATAATTGTTGTTAAGTTTATTGGGGGGGTGGGGAGTTTTGTTGTGGAGGTTACATAGTGGGACATTCTAGAGTTTTAGAGTTTTTTCCTAAACTTTATCTGGGTGATGGTTATATATTCACATATGGAAATATTAATTGAGCCACACTTTACTGTTTATAATTTTACCTCAGTTGAAATGAAAACAAATAAGTGAAGGAACTTAAAGCAAGTTCTGTCCATGATTGAAGATCTCATCATCATCTCCAGGGATGAGCCTTGTAGGGCCATATGATAAAACTCCTCATTGTACAATTTGTTTTGTGTTGGTCTTTTCATAACTTGTTTGCTACCTCCCAACAGCAATTATCTTTGTGGCTTCCTCAGATTTTATTTCAAATCTGTCTCTAGAGCGTGTTGTATCCTCTGAAATAACAAACAGAAAAATATCTCCAATATTTTAACATTCCTCATGTACTGTGCGAAGCCTACCTCACAAAGGACAGGGCACAGATCCTTTTAGGCAGGTTGGATATGTGGACCGAGTCACACACAGAAGGTTTTATCTGTGTTGCCTCCAGCTCCTCTTTCATCTCACAACCTTCAACAACAACAGCAAGAAATCACTCAGTTTTCACAAAATGTAGGCATCGTGAGGTCCATAATGGAGGACAAGATAGATGGCTTATTTTTCTGTATACTGGAAAATACAGCCATTAAAGATGCATTGATAATGTAAAAGTGCTATGGAAGGTGAATTGGAGGGTTAGAGGGGACTGAGGGTAATTATGTAGTGACAATGACATTTTAACGCAAGACTTGATTGGGCTGCAGGGCCTCAGAAGGGGTGTATTGGTTAGAGATTTAGATTAGGATGGGAACTAAATGAAGAGTAACTAGGATTATAGTCCAATGCTTCATTTATATCAGATGGGCATGACAGTTCTGGCAATTGAGCTTGGTCCTCAGTCCGCTGTTCTTAGTTAAAAAAAAAAAAGTTTATTTCAGGAAGGAGGATAATTTCCTGAGAGTCTATATTTTGGTTCTTGGGTTTACCTCTTTCAGAGAAATCTTGGCATGCTGTGCTCCACGAATGAGATGGCTAGAATTAAATCTGAGAATGAGATCAGGGGAGAGCTTGGTGTAGTATGATTTACACCCAGATTTTATAACCTGGCCTTGTACGACGGTTCTGCAACATGCTAGGTATATACCTTGAGGAAAGTAACAGGACAGCTCTAAGCCTCAACTTCCTCATCACTAAAAAGATGAATAAGAAGGGATGCAAGAATGGTTTCATATCCCCAAATCAATCAGCATGATACATCACTTTAACAAAGTGAAGGATAAAAACTATGTGATCATCTCAGTAGATGCAGAAAAAGCATTTGACAAAATTCAACATTCATTCATGATAAAAACTCTCAGCAAACAAATCCACAGCTAACATCTGTTGCATTTCTCTATACTAATAATGAGGTAGCAGAAAGAGACATTTAAAAAACAATCCATTTACAATTGCACAAAAAGAATAAAATACCTTGGAACAAATTTAACAAAGGAAGTGAAAAACCTATACTCTGAAATCTATAGGACACTGATGAAAGAAATTGAGGAAGACACAAACAAATGGAAAGATGTATCATGCTCATGGATTGGAAGAATTAATATTGTTAAAATGTCCATACTACCCAAAGCAATCTACAGATTCAATGCAATCCTTATAAAAATACCAACCATTTTTCACAGAACTAGAATAATCCTAAAATCTGTATGGAACCACAAAAGGCCTCGAATAGCCAAAGCAATCTTGAGAAAGAAGAACAAAACTGGAGGTGACACAATCTCAAATTTTAAGATATATTACAAAGATGTAGTAATCAAAACAGTATAGCACAAAAAATAGACACATAGATCAAAAGAACAGAATAGAGAGCTAGAAATAAACCCATACTTGTCTGGTGAATTAATCTATGACAGATGAAGCAAGAATATACAGTGGGGAAAAGACAGTCTTTTCAATAAATGGTGTTGGAAAAATATATAAAGAACTCATACAACTTAACATCAAAAAAGCCCCCAAATAATTCAATTAAAAATGGACAGAAGACATGAACAGACATTTCTCCAAAAAAGACATCCAGATGGCCAACAGACACATGACAAGATGCTCAACACCACTCATCACCAGGGAAATGCAAATCAAAATCACAGTGAGATATCAGCTCACACCATTCAGAATGGCTAGTATCAAAAAGATAAAAAATAACAAGTGTTGGGCGCCTGGGTGGCTCAGTTGGTTAAGCGACTGCCTTCAGCTCAGGTCATGATCCCGGAGTCCCAGGATCGAGTCCCACATCGGGCTC